TATATATATATATATATATATATATATATATATATATATATATATATATATATATATATATATATATATATATATATATATATATATATATATATATATATATATATATATATATACACACAATATAATGTCTCTTTTACACAATATTGTTCTGAAACTCTCTGCAGGGTCAGCGAGGGCCAATAGGATTCACTGGACCCCATGGTGATAAAGGAGATCGGGTAATACATATACAGTATCTTCATGAGAAAGAGCTTGCAGAGCAATATTCTCCAGCCTGATTAACTCAAGTCATAATTACAATACTTCAATATGACTAATCAAACAAAGTCTGCAGTGCTTACACAGATTAAAACTGCTGTGAGAGCTTTATGTTTGCAGAACAAAGGGAAGTGTGGTACTTACTGTATAACACACTCTCCAAAGCAAATTAGAAGCATTAGCTTGTCTGCTTTATATCTGCAGGGTCCGCCTGGATTCAATGGCATCCCAGGACCCACTGGACCACCAGGATCACCAGTACGTATCCATTTGTTTTTCAATTAAATTTTGTAATTGTAGTGTGCTACAAAGTATAAAGGATTAATGATTTACATCATTTAGTTGTTGTACATTGTAAATCATATATAGAATATAAATTCAAATAATTTTAGAAAGTCTGTTCAAGTCAAGAATGAAAATACACATGAATTTAATAATAAAAATAATGATATCTATCTAAAAACTATGACTGGACTACAAATAAAAGTAATTTTCAGCTTCAAGGAGCGTTAAGTTAAACATTGTACCCTGTAAAAAAAACAAAAAACTAACTCGACTTAAAATGTTAGGGCAGCTTGCAGCAAAGCTTCCTGAGGTACTTAATTCGAGTCAAGTGCAGTACCTGGGTTAAAAGTTGCATCAAAAAAAACAACAACTTTATTTTCCACTATGGATTATCTGAAATATATGATAAACATATGATGTTATTTCTATAAAAAAAAGACTTTATGAATTTAGGAGTAAATGAATATTTCTGTGTCTTTACAGGGTGTTGAAGGCATCAGAGGGCGAGAGGGACATCCTGGGCCTAAAGGAGATGATGTGAGTTATTGCTGTCATATAAATTACCCTATATATATATATATACAACAATTATATATATATATATATATATATATATATATATATATAATAAATACATAATTAATAAATACTTCAGGAGTTTACAAGATTGCTATTTTAGTAAATAGCAATCTTTTTTTCATCAATATGTTTTTAAAAACAGGAACTTGTTACACTATGCACATATACACTTAGTCATGTAGTTTATGACTTTAGTATCATCTCAAATGAAACAGTAAAGTTTTTACTAAATGAAAATTCAACAATTTTTTTAGGGAATGTTTGTTGGTTGCCAAATAAATCAAATAGATGACCAAACATTTTATAATAAATGTAATTTTTCAGTGGGAATGCACTATTTATACTACGATATGGCATAGCATAGAGTTTAAGTATGTGATTTGGGATGCACCTATTGTTTTATTTCCTGAAGAATTCTGTGTGTTGTTTTAGGGTGCGATTGGAGCTCCGGGAGAGAAGGGAGCTGCTGGTGTTAAAGGTGACACTGTGAGTGACTGTTCAATTTTCAATAGATTAATCTGACAGTGTGATAATTCTGAAAATAGTGCTGGAAGAAAGTTTTCCGTAACTATGATGTTGATAAAGATGCTGTTGTATATGTGTAGGGTGAGGCAGGAAACCCAGGAGCTGATGGAGAGCCAGGAGCTACAGGAGAGAAGGTGATTTCTTTTTTTAATGACCCCCATTAAATCATTCAGTTTTTTTTTGCTTGCCGAATGATTAAGGCCCTGTCCACACGAACAAACATTTTCAAATCCTTTTCAAAATGATTCAAAGATGATTCTTTGGAGTTACTCAATTTTTTTATGTTAAGTTGTTGTAAACAATTTATTTGCGCCGAATTTAAACAAACAAATTAAGTTGAACATTATTAAACTTAATTTGTTTGTTTGAATTCAACACAAATAAATTGTTTGCAACAGTTTTGCATGCAACACTTTGTTCAGTACATGGCTTTGCTGTTTGTCCATACGAAAATCGGTGATTGAAACCGAAACTTTCTGAAAACTCAGACCAGTGTGAAGATTTTCCAAAACTCCAGGTACAATGTGGTCATGTGGACTCTGAAGTTTTTGCTTCATGACATCAGCATGTGTGCTGTTTTCTCCTTTCTGATTGGCCAACACAGCTGGGTTTTAAGGGAGATTCCACACGTTTACGGGAAACTTGTCACAAATGTTATGTTGTTGGCACTGCCTCTGTTCTCACGTTTGCTTTGACTTTTAATGTAGTTTACTCGTGCCAATACTTAATTTCACGGTAGGTGTGAACCCAGCATAAAAGCCTTATATTGGCCTTAAAGGTCATGAGACATTAAATCACATTTTTTTTTAGATGTTAGTATCAGTTTTAAGGATATCCATAAGCTACAAAACAGTGACAAAATTAGCGTTTAGACGATATGAACCTAATATAAACGTTCAAAGCTTGCAGTTTGTCACTTCCACCTAAATGGATCAACAATTTTTTAGCACATCACCTCATCAAATTTTGACCAATCAAATGTGCTTAACTATCTGACATGCTCCGCCCCTTTCAAGACGCTTTTCATTTGCTTTTCATTTTTCAGCTTAACCACTTTCTGGCAGAGCCTTGAGAAAACAAAACATTATTGGCTGTTTTTTTTTTTTTAAGGGGAGGAGCTACACTATGCCCCACCCTCTCTTTATGTTTCAGTTGAGATTCCATCAAACATCGAATAATAATGGACATTTTAAAGCACTTCATGAGACTTTTAACAGTGCGCTTTTGTATTTACATGTGGACGGATTTATTTATTTATTTTTTTAAGGTGGGAAAAACTAATAAATTATAAAAAGAAATACCTGTGTAAATGTGGACATGGCCTAAAACTGAAGGATAATTAAGATCATTTGGCTGTCTGTCTGACAGGGAGAACCAGGCCTGCCTGGAGCCATTGGTGTCAGAGGAATTGTGGGAATTCCGGTAAGTTAATAAACTGATGTATAGTTATGTGCACGCAGTGTTACTCACAAATCTGTTAAATAAGAAACCTGGCATAAAGTGAAAACACCAACAAACTGTAAATGAAGAGATTTTCACTCATTTGTAATCTACGCCTCACCCTGATGAACAATCCTGAATCTTGCATATAGGGTTTGCCAGGAAAACAGGGACTGGTGGGACCTGCAGGCCAAAAGGTAGAACATCATTTACATGAGAAGAATTACATGCTGGAGCTCATTTAAATGTGAAAGTAATTTGCATGCATTCGCTCCCTGTGTAACAGGGTGATACAGGCGCTGAAGGAGCTACTGGTCCAGTTGGGCTTCCTGGCAAAGATGTAAGTAAAATGATGTTGTTTTTGTGCTACTGTACTGTAAATCCACCCTGTTTTGTAATGCGGATTTACAAGATTTAAACTTCATTAGGCACTACTGGTGAATAATAAAGCAAAACATTAGCAAATATTAGCAAAAAACATTCAAGATAAAAAAATTGTATAATAAACATGCTAAGAAAAAGCTGTGTAAGGCAGCAAAACACTATTATTCTAATGGATATGAAACCATACATGCTCAAAAACTGAGGTGTGTGTTTTTAAGGATTATTAATGATGTTCATTTCATATTTTAGGGAGCCGTTGGACCACCAGGAGAAGATGGAGCTCCTGGACCCAAAGGAGCCACTGTAATACAATTTACACATTCATACAAATATTATTTTTGGCACACTTTATTTGAGTGTTATTGGCATATTTGAGTGTATAGGTCAACCAAAAATTAAATTCTGTCATCATTCACTCGCCTTTTACTCGTTCCAGTTTTTGCTAAACACAAAGAAGATATTTTGAAGAATGTTGGAAAACTGTAACCATTGACTTCCATAGTATCTGCTATTCCTACTATGGAAGTCAATAGCAGCAGAATGTTTATTTTTGGGTGAACTATCCCTTTTATTATTAAGTGCATATTGAAATTTGCTTGGATGTGGAACATTAACATAAAAACTATTTATAATCATTTTACAAAAAAATATCGATACATTTACGAAAAAGACTTTTGTTCTCAGGGTGACACAGGAAAGCAGGGTCCAGTCGGCCCAACAGGTCAACAAGGAATCCAGGTGGGTTTTATATTGTACATGGATGGACAAACTGCTTTGATTAATAATCTTAATGCTGCGTTCTAATTTATATACTAAATAGGGTCAGAAAATGATTTTATATTGAAATCACTGTATTGCCCTGAAATCACTGCATTGCCCTCTGGTTATTACAGTTATTATTTATTAACTGCATCCGTGTTATCTTTTATCTCAAATAAAATATGTATAATTTATTTGATCCATTAGTATTTTATGGAAATTGAACTAATAAAAATGTTAAGTCAAATCTACACTCACCGGCCACTTTATTAGGTACACCTTACTAGTACCGGGTTGGACCCCTTTTGCCTTCAGAACTGCCTTAATCCTTCATGGCATAGATTCAACAAGGTACTGGAAATATTCCTCAGGGATTTTGCTCCATATTGAATTGATAGCATCACACAGTTGCTGCAGATTTTTCATGGATTCACATCCATGATGCGAATCTCCCATTCCATCACATCCCAGAGGTGCTCTATTGGATTGAGATCTGGTGACTGTGGAGGCCATTTGAGTACAGTGAACGTTTTGTCATGTTCAAGAAACCATGGCACATTATCCTTCTGAAAGTAGCCATCAGAAGATACACTTTGGTCATAATGGCACTGACATGGTCAGCAACAATACTTAGGTAGGCTGTGGCATTGACATGATGCTCAGTTGGTACTAATGGGCCTAAAGTGTGCCAAGAAAATATCCCCCACACCATTACACCACCACCACCACCAGCCTGAACCGTTGATACAAGGCAGGATGGATCCATGATTTTATGTTGTTGATGTGAAATTCTGACCTGACCATCCGAATGTCACAGCACAAGTCAAGACTCATCAGACCAGTTTCTCCAATCTTCTATTGTTCAATTTTAATGAGACTGTGTAAATTGTAGCCTCAGTTTCCTGTTCTTAGCTGACAAGAGTGGCACCCTGTGTGGTCTTCTGCTGCTGTAGCTCATCTGCCTCAAAGTTTCAATGTGCGTTCAGAGATGCTCTTCTGCACACCTCAGTAGTAACGAGTAGTTATTTTAATTACTGAAATACTTCAAATTCATATAGCAATGGAAGATCAAGTTGCGTGTGATGTGGCTTTGCTCTATTTATCCACTATGCGTCCATATGTCTGAAGTATCCTGAAGCCGCTATACTGTTTTGTTTTGACACGTTGCGTGAGATTTATTTTTAAGATAAATATATATAACATTAATGCACATCAGTGACTCACCAGTAACTTATATAATGCATGTTCCTGTAAAAAAACACCAGGAACATCACGTACTGTTGCCTTTCTATCAGTTGGAACTAGTCTGGCCATTCTCCTCTCACATTAAGGCATTTGCACCCACTGAACTAACACTCACTGGATATGTTCTCTTTTTTGGCCGATTATCTGTAAACCCTAGAGATGGTGGTGTGTGAAAATCCCAGTAGATCAGCAGTTTCTGAAATTCTCAGACCAGACCGTCTGGCACCAACAACCATGCCACGTTCAAAGTCACTTAAATCCCTTTTCTTCCCCATTCTGATGCTCGCTTTGAACTGCTGCAGATCGTCTTGACCATGCCTCACGCATAAATGCAGTGAGTTGCTGCCATGTGATTGGCTGATTGAAAATTTGCGTAACGAGCAGTTGGACAGGTGTACCTAATAAAGTGAGTGTATATTAAAAAAAACTCATTACAGCTGCACTACTATAGAATGTTTTCATTTTTAAAATGTAGAAACATTATTGGTAGTGATTATAAGGCGTTAATCAATAGAATATACTCTATTTTCAGCACTAAATAAGCTCCTCTCATTGGCTGCTGCATTCTTGAGCTCAACAGAAAATCTTGTGATTGGTCGTAAGACTCGAAGCTGCAAATAAATAAAGCAATCTAATGCTACGTGTCTTACCTCCTTATGCTAATTCAGAGCTGTTATTAGCATTAATAGTACATTACATGCACAACTACTCATAGAATACATTGAATTCTGAATAGAGTGTAAAATTAATGATTGTTACTGTACTCTTGACGGCTTCCCCAGGGAGAAAAAGGAGACCACGGCCTCATGGGTCCTCGTGGAATCAAGGGTCACACGGGTCATAAAGGAGACCAGGTGTGCTTCCTTCATTACAATAATCCTTCATAGCAGAGCAGAGCTTATTATTGCTGTCTATGTGAAATCCTGTAATCTTTCTGTTCTTTCAGGGCCCGATGGGTCTCGTCGGTCCTAAAGGAAGCGAGGTAAATTAAAAAGCCTGTCAAACATGCACTCAGTGACTGCATTAAACGCCTGCTGTTTCCTATGAACACTGTGTAATTTTCGGCTAACATCTTTCTCTCATCGGTTTGCAGGGAGATCCAGGTGTTCCCGGAGATCCAGGCGTGAAGGGGGATCAGGTTCGCCATATTTATAGAAACATCCCCAGCACGCCCTGTAATTATGGTATTCCAGTTGGTGTACAGTGGTTTGATGGTTTTTAATAATGCTTTACAGGGGCCTACGGGTATTCCTGGAACCAAGGGAGAGGTAAGTGGCGCATACCACCATAAAACACTCATACCAGCTATATTATTTAGTGTTTAGGTTGTGGAAAATAGTGTTAATGTAAAAAATTAACGAGTGAAAGAAATTATAGTAAATACCTATATTTTTTATTTAATAATTTAGATTTTTTTTTTCAATTATTGTATTGATGCAATTACTACTTTTTATAATACATTGATTTTAACATATAAATCGGTTCATGGTTCTGCTCCTGATTATATACAGTTGAAGTCAGAATTATTAGCCCCCCTGAATTTCTGTTTAGCAGAGAGATTTTTTTCAACACATTTCTAAGCATAATAGTTTTAGTAACTAATTTCTAATACCTGATTTATTTCATCTTTGCCATGATGACAGTAAATAATATTTGACTAGATATTTTTCAAGGCACTTCTATACAGCTTAAAGTGACATTACCGTACGTCCACACCGAAAGCCTGGCCACCCTGGCGACAACGCTGTCTGCCTTCAGCTCCGCCGGCGAGAGCGTCAAAACTCGCTACATTGATCTCGTATTTAAAGGAGCCATTGCAGCATATCAGATACATTCCTGCATAAAACATGTTTCTAGCGTGAAAATGTTGCGCACTTCTTATCAAATTCATATAACAATGGAAGATCAAGTTGCGTGTGGTGTGGCTTTGCTCTGTTTATCCACTATGCGTCCATATGTCTGAAGTATCCTGAAGCCGCTATACTGTTTTGTTTTGACACGTTGCGTGAGATTTATTTTTAAGATAAATATATATAACATTAATGCACATCAGTGACTCACCAGTAACTTATGTAATGCATGTTCCTGTAAGAAAACATCGTAAATAATTGGAAATCCGGCGATCGCAATCATCAAACCCTTGTGAACAATTGTGGTCAGAACCAAAGTTCACAGGTCTGTGTTCTCTGATCTCCTCTCAAGCGGTGGACGTCTTCATTCTGATTGCTTGCCACCGAACTGCGTCATAGCTCATACCATAAAGTTAACTTGATTTCAACTCTCCTCGACGCCCACGCCGGCGAAGACACGCCGCGCTGCTCCTTGCCGATTATCGCCGCTGGCTCTCATTGAAAATGAATGACTTCCGACTACTTTGACGCTCTTGCCACTTTCGGTGTGAACGTACGGTTAACTAGGGTAACTTGGTTAACCAGTCAGGTTAGAGTAATTAGGCAAGTTATTGTATAGCAATGGTTTGTTCTGTAGACTATCAAAAAATATAACTTAAAGAGGCAAATAATTTTAACCTTAAAATGTTTTATAAAAAATTTTAAACTGCTTTTATTCTAGCCGAAATAAGGCTTTCTCCAGAAGAGAAAAAAATCAGATATACTGTAAAATTTACCTTGCTGTGTTCAACATCATTTGGAAAAATAATTAAAAAAGAAAAAAATCCTTAGGGGGGCGAATAATTCTGACTTCAACTGTATGTGATCTGATATTTACATCCACTTCTTCTCGTTATTTACTTTCTGCCTCGGGGCTCATCGTTTCAGCCTCGTTGCAAACTCAGCACCATGGCAGGTAGGGCATTCTCATACCGTGCACCTAAAATGCGGAATGCTCTTCCCACAAACATCAGGAGTTCAGTTCCCTGGACTGTTTTAAGAAACTTCTTTAAACCCCTTTATAGTATTGCTTATAATGTATGAGGATTTCTTTTTTAACTGTGTTTTTTGTATTTTATGTTTTACTGTGTTGACGCTTTTGTTGGCACTTTGATTCTGAGGAAAGCGGATTATAAATAATAATAATAAAATGTGTTATTATCATTTTAGATTAATTAGTTTCAATTACCGTTAATTTACAAGTTAGTAATCTAATATAAAAATGTTGGAGTAATTCAGCGTCTAGATATGTGCGTGGACTAGAGTTCTCACGATTCTGCAATTCGGTACCAATCATTACTAAAAATTTTAAAAACGTTAATTTCGCAGCGAACATTCGAGCGATGTTGAGTGCATTCTTAAACAGCGCTGATTTGCCATTGTGCTCATGTGCTCAAGAGAAATGACTGTGATTGGCTCCGAAGGTGTTCAGTTTACCGAACTTACCGCTGTTTACTGAGTTTAACCACAGATCCAGGGACACTGGAGCGTTTTAAAGCTGCAATTTATCAGTGAATTCATAGCTTATAGAAAAATCAGCTGATCGACATGACTTTGAAACGCTCCAGTGTTCCTGTATCTGGGGTTACACTTAGTAAACAGCGGTGAGTTCGGTAAACTGATGACCTTCACAGCAGGCCCAGATTGGCTAATCGGGAGTACCTGGAGAATTCCCGGTGGGCTGGTCTGTTTTTTGGCCGCGAGGGCCGGTGTCTCTAGCTGCTTGCACTCTCAGCAGTCACACTTTTTTCTTCTATTTATTTATTTGACCATAGCTTCACTCTTTTTATTCATTATTTTGCCGCAGTGCCACTCTTTTTATTTATTTTCACGCAGCCCCGTGAGAAAAAATGCAGCCTGCTGGTTAACTAACGTTAATGATGATGATTGTAATGTAACTATCGACCCCAAACAGCGGCACCTTAGTAAATATAAGAATTCGAATAATTAATATTAATGAATATTACACCTGCTCAATGAAAATCAAATGATTTACTACATTAATAAATCTGACATAACTTGATCAGAAATCTAAAAACGGGAGAAAAAGATTGAGCCATCAAAAGAAACTAGTGCTGTGTCTTAAGGGTCGCAAGTCATTAGTTATTTTTTACTCTCACTGTAATAGTGCCATTGTGCCGCGAACCCGTGTTCGAATGTCCCCTGAAAATATCTTTTTTTTTTTCATTTTTATTGTTAAGACATAAAATACTGTTAGGACTGTTGAACATTTGAATTTCTAAAGCAGCAGTTTTCTTGAAAAAGACGTGATAGTGCCATTAGAAACTGAATTGGAAATGAGGTTATTTTAATATAATCAGTCGTGAACTGAGGTGGGCCGGTCTGGCTTGAAACTCCAGGGCTGAAAATGAGTCTCACTCCGGCCCTGCTTCACAGTCATTTCTGTTAAGCATGTCAACACAATGGCAAATCAGCAATTTAAGAACGCGCTTGAATGTTAGCGGGAAATGGACATTTTTAAAATATCGGTACCGAATTTGAGTATCGTGCCAACCCTAGCGTGCATTTGCAAATTATAATAATTAGTTAAAAAGATGCGGTTTTTATGTATTTATTTTGAATAGGATTTTAAATCAATTAATGTGTTTATTTATTTATTTTCAAACTTTTTATAAAGAAATACTTCACATACTCACATTTTCTTCTGGGAATACAAATCTAGTTGCGTTGTGCTTGTTTTTCATCCCTCTCTTTTCTTTGATTGATGTAAGCGTGGTGAGAAAGGCCAGAGAGGAGCTACAGGCGCTGATGGGCGTCCAGGACAGCCGGGTCATGAGGGTCTGACGGGACCACAGGGAGCCAGAGGTCTTGAAGGAGAACGAGGACTGGTGGGACCTCCTGGTCCCAGAGGTCTACCTGTCAGTGCAGATTCACTTACACCATTGATCAGAACAGTGTTTCTCAACCAGGTTCCTGGAGGACTGCCAGCTCTGCACATTTTCCATGGCTGCGCCCGAAACCGCATACTTCCATACTATACAGTATGCTAAAATCAGTATGCGAGCCGAGTAGTATGTCCGAATATATAGAATTTGAAAATCAGTATGCGAGAAGTACCCGGATGACTTACTACTTCCGGCGAGATTCTGGAGTGCGCATCCCATGTATGCTGCGCTATCCCGCAATGCCCTGCGAGCGAATTCATGAATGGGAGTAAAGCGCAAGTAGGTCACATGACCATAACAAAATGACGGATGTAGTACGTCCGAATCCCATTCATACTGTATAGAACATACTTTTCTAACGGCCGAGTAGTACGTTTAATTTCAAATGCAGTACCTACTGAGTAGTAGGTGGTTTCGGACGCAGCCTATGTCTCCTTAACCAAACACACCTGATTCAGATCGTCAGCTAATTAGCAGACACTGAAAGACCTGTAATGCAGTGTGGTTGGTCCTCCAGGAACGTGGCTGAGAAACACTGGATTAGAACGTACAGTATGTTGTTTCTTTAGAAAGGATTTTCGTCCAGCCATTGATGTTCTCAATGTTTTTAAAAGGGGCCCAAGATCCAAGATGAGAAGATCCGTGAGATCTGTTCAGCTGTTGTTGAAGGTACAACAACTTTTTCAGTCATGAAATCTAAATTTACTTTATTAAAAGGAATATTGCTGTTTTTAATGCACAAGTGCGCATAATTTTTAGTATTTGCTCTTAATCTTTAATTTAAAAAAATCATTTTTAAAGTACTATTTTTAACTGTTATACCTTTATTTATAATGACATGTTAACTGGTGTGAGGGCGGGATCAACATATCAATCACACGAGATCCACCAATAGCAAACTGCAATCATCCATTCAATTCCTCATAGACAAAATCAAGGTCTTGCCTATATATATATATATATATATATATATATATATATATATATATATATATATATATATATATATATATATATATATATATATATATATATATATATATATATATATATATATATATATATATATATATATATATATATATATATATATATATATATATATATATATATATATATATATATATATATATATATATATATATATATATATATATATATATATATATATATATATATATATATATATATATATATATATATATATATATATATATATATATATATATATATATATATATATATATATATATATATATATATATATATATATATATATATATATATATATATATATATATATATATATATATATAT